TGTAAACCGCTTAGAGAGGGCTGAAAGCCCTATGAAGCGGTATATAAGTCTAACTGCTATTGCTATTCTGCAAAAAAGGACCTAATGGCAAAGACTGTACCAATGATGTCATTAAAGCCAACCTCTTTAACACATTCTTTGTAAGCTCTGTCTTTTTAAACAACAATGTCTCACAACCAATATTTCCTAATCGTACCACAAACAATGACAACGATCTACCCTGTTTCCCTGAAAATAAGACCTCCCCAGATAATAAGCCCAATTGGGCTTTTGAGCACGTGCACTAAAATAAGCCCTCCTCACAAAATAAGCCCTCCCCGAAAATATTGCAACACAGCAGCAGCCATGAGCTGACCACACTCACCACCTCCTGCACCTCAAAAATAATAAGACCTCCCTGAAAATAAGGCCAAGTGCTTATTTCAAATGTCAAAAGAAAATAAGACCCTGTCTTATTTTCGGGAAAACACGGTAACACAAATCAATTTGATTTGAAGATAATGTTGAAAAGGCACTACGCAGCCTAAAACCATCTCTATCTATTGGACCTGATGGACTATCTGTCTTCTTCTTAAAAAAGCTTTCCACTGCCATAGCAGAACCTCTAAGAATAATCTTTGAAATCTTTCAGGAAAAGCTCCTTGCCTAGCTTAGGGTCACTAGCCATGGTCATCTCTTATCTTCAGTCTTATCTTCAGTCTAGTTGAAAATTACGGAATCAATCATAAACCAATCCACTTAGTAATGAACAACCTACTCTCTAACAAACAATTTGGTTTCAGGGAAAAAAATAGCCTCAAATTCCTACACTGCAAAAACATATGGACTACACAACTCCATCAAGACAAAGCAATAGACGCAATTTACATAGACTTCTGTAAAGCTCTGATTCAGTGGTAGATGATAAACTACTTCTAAATCTAAAATCTTATGGCATCTCTGGACCCCTGCATAATTGGATAGCTGCGTTCCTGTCAAACAGTCAACAAGTGGTCAAAATAGGGAGTGCCCTATCAAATACTACACCTGTTAACAGTGGTGTCCCCCAAGGCAGCATTATAGGGCACCAATATTCTTTATACTTTACACAAATGACCTTTGCAATCTGATTACAAGCAACTGCATTCTCTTCGCTGATGATGTAAAACTATTTAACACCACCGACATAATGCTGCTACCCTTCAAAAAGACTTTGACTATGTGTCAGAATAGTCAAACAATTGGCAACTTCAAATCTTAACAAACAAATGCTCTGTCTTACACATTGGCAAAAAAAATCAGAACACAAAATACAAGCTGGGTGGACACGACCTTGTAGATGACCTTCACTCTGTCAAGGACCTTGGAGTACTCATATCTAATTATCTAAGTGCCAGAGCCCACTGCAATAACATTGTCAAAAAGGCATTAAGAGTTGTTAACCTAATATTGTGTAGCTTCTAATCTGGTAATATTGTACTGCTAACTGGAGCATGCAAAACTTTTGCTAGACCAATTCTCGAATACAGCTCATCTGTCTGCAGTCCGCACTGCATATCAGACATTAATACAATAGAGTGAGTCCAGAGATATTTCATGAGACAAGTCCTCTGCTCCTCTGCTCGCAACAGAATACCTTATGCCACCAGACTTGAAATTTTGTCTTAGACAACTTAGAA